CTTGTATTTCTTCCGGGTGCCCGTTGCTTTCTGTGCCCATTTATAAAAATGTTTTAAAAGTTGGGGAAATTGAGGCCTGAGCAGGCAGCAGTAGGGGTGAGGGGAGACAGCCAGCAAATAGCTGTGGATCGGCAGAGATCCCAATAAAGACAACTATGGGGGAGTGTCTGGTGGTCTAAGCCATAATAAAAATAACTAGCACTTAGCAAGCATCTACTATTCCTGAGCACCAGACTCATGGATCGTGTTCTTTAATCTTCACAGCAATGCCACACAGTCATCGTGTAATTATATGTGTATTTTACAGATGAAGGGAGGAAATGAAGGGTTAGTGGCTTGCCCAGGGTCACCTTGCCAAGAAGTGGCAGATGAGCAATTTGAACTCAAGCCTGACTCCACGATGCTGGCTTGGCTTTGATGCTGGGCTGTGATGAGGTCCCCAAGGCTGGAGCAAAGCAACTGAATTTCTCCAGCCCACACATCCAGGAAAAGCCAGAGCCCAGAGGGCTGAGTGAGTGTGGAGGCTCCTGTGTCCCTGTTAGGCCTTAAGATGTGGAGAGGAATATATATATATATATATATATAATCGCCAATTCCTGTGACACAGGACAATGTGGGGAAGCCTTGCAGACACAATGCTGGGCAGAAGACGCCAGACACAAACAACGCACATCCCATGTGATTCCATTTAAGTGAAGTTCTAACGGGGACAAAGCCAGTCCTGTGGTGACAACATCAGGAGAGTAGTTGCCTTTGAGGAAGCCTCCTGCATGATAGAAATTGCTCACCTCTTGACTTGGGAGGCTCGGACCCAGGTGGACATACGTGGGAAAGGTCATCAAGCTGCACGCTCCAGATTTGAGCCTCTATTGCAGCGGTTCTCAACCTTGGCTGCACATTAGAATCACCTGGGAATCTTTTTAAAATCCTGATTTCTGGGCCTCATCCTCTGGAAATTCTGTTTCTTTGTTACTAATGTTGTGGCCCCACCCCATAACAAAGGGGCCAAGGTTGAGAACCACTGCCATAGGCACATACAAGAACTGGCCAGTGAATGCATAAATAAGTGAAACAACAAATTGATGTGTTTTTTTTTCCTCTCTCTCTCTCTCTCAAATTAATTTTAAAAACTTTTAACATTCATTTATGCATTTCCTCGTTTATCTTTTCAGTGTTCAACAGGCTTCTGTAGAGGGCTTGCTATGTGCCAGGCACCATGCTGCATCCTGGGGATACACCAGTAAATAATCTGACAAAAACATCTCGTGTTGCTGTCCTCCTAGCCAAGATTGAGATTATTGTTACTTTAAAATCATAAGTGTACAGTATGCTTGTTGAAGAAAAATAAAAGAGGGAAAGGGGTGAGGCGTGAAGGGCAGGTTGCATCTTCAAGTAGGGTGGTCAGAAAAGACCCTGAGAAGGTAACATTTCAGCAAAGATCCTGGAGGTGTGCTCCAGGTCGGCTGCAAGTCTCTGGCCAGAGGGAAGCAGTGAGGGGTCAGGGTGGAGCTGCAAGTGCAAATCCCTGAGACAGGTGCGGCACGTCTCTGGCCAGAGGGAAGCAGTGAGGGGTCAGGGTGGCTGGAGGGTGATTGAGGGAGAGCCATAGATTGAGGTTCGGGAAGTGACAGAGGGAGAGAGTGTAGGGCGTTCAGACTTGGGCTCTCCGGGACTGAGGTTGGGTTTTGAATGGAGAGCTGCGTTGATCTGGCTGCATGTTTGTAAAGGGAGACCCTGCTGGCTGCCACCCTGGAAAGAGACTGTAGGAAGGCCAGGAAGCCAGAGGCCAGTTCTGGGCTCCCTCGCTGCACTGCATCTCTGCTCTCCCACCTGTGCTTCTCCAGGGGAACCTTGACCTCTAGGCACTGAGAGAAGAGGAAGGGGCCTTGCTGTCCCCTGTGGAGGCCAACAGGACAGGCTAGAAGGTGGGGAAGAGCAGCCCCGAGCCTCTCTGGACAGGGTGTGCGAAGGCCTTTGGAAAACGCAAAATGCAGACATGGACTGCTTCCTTGCGATTCTCCTGGAGGCTTTCCAAGGAGGCAGAGGTTGCTTGACAAGGCTCCTTCCTGGCTGGAGCTAGAGCAGTAGAGGTGAGATGGAGACTGACATCACCTCAGGCAGGGCCCCCCCATCCCCCTGCTGCAGGAACTGCTGACCTCACCTCTCCTCCTCCAGGTGGGAAAGGTGCAGAGAGCCCTGTGGGGGCGGGACAAAGGGATCCCTCCTATAGCAAGGCCCTTTCTTCAAGGGCCGAAGATGTTGGCCGAAGATCTTTTCATAGGGAAGTCTGGATTGAAGGGAGGACCCCTGCATCTGCAGGCCTGGCTCTCCCACCGCCTGCCTGCCTGCCTGCCCTGTGGCTTGTGGGCATCAAGCTGTGACTGTGCAGAAATTCCATCTCTTTAACGTGACCCTTTCTCCTTTCTGTCCATCCAGTCCCTTCCTTAATCACTAAACCCTTAGGACATCAGAGTCAGGTGAACATCAAACTATCTTAAGAACAAAACCTCGGGTCTGTTGACCACAGAAACAGAGCTGTGGTCAAGCTAACGATAACTTCTTGACTTCAGTCGTGTTTCAGCCCAAGGCCCATGAAAGTGGAACCACGCTATGGACCACACCCTCATGAAACCAGACAGAACACGGCCCTGGCTGACGTGAGGCCTGGTCTGCTGCTCCCTACTCTGGCCCTGTGTAGGCAGTTAGACGCGAGCAGAGCTAGGATGACGGGCCAGGTACAGAAGGTCACCAGGGTGGAAAGCCCAAAGTGCCTAGCAATGGACAATCAATGGTAGGGGGGACCTCACCCCCAGGGGGACTCTCCCTCCCCTAGCATATCCCTGGTTGTGGGGTTTGGACCCTCTGACATTTCCTCCCTGGAGATAACATCTAGGCCTCAGTTGAATTTCAGCTCCAGGCCCAGGTAAGCAACAAAATCAGCCTCAGGATCAGCTGTGTGGAATAATGACCCCTGCCCTGGTGCAGGCCAATCGATCAGTGGAGACCACAACCCTGAAAGGACACACCTGGAGAACTGCTGAATATTCTATTGAGAGCTTCCCCCAGGACCTCACCTGAAATCTCCGCCCTTAAAACCCTCAGGAGAGGACCAGGTGTGCTCTCCCTGCAGGGAACAGGCTCTCTTGCTCACGCCTTTCCCTTCTCCCTTCCCCTCTCCCCTCCCCGCCCCAGGCACGTTACCATTAGCTTCCTCACTCCCAGCTCCAAGGGCCCCTCCTTTACCTCTATAACTTGTTTCCTATGTCCATTTCTTTTAGGAATCATTTTTCTACCTCTATGATTTACCAAATAAATGTTCTTTTACAGTTTGAGTCTTGGCTCTGAATTCTTTTCTAGCCAGAACCCAAGTACCAAGGTTGCTGAACCCACTGGTCAGACACCTGGTGCCGGTTCACCGCCTCCAACAGCCCCAGCCAATCAATAGAGCCCATGACCCCAACTCATTTAAAGGTTTACTGGCCTCTTCCCCTATGTAACGCACCCTCTGGAAGCCATCAGGGAACCAGGTCTTTTAGACTGGCTTACCTGTGACTCCAGGCATAGGCACCATTTTCTCAACTAATAAACGACTTTCTTTGCTACAAACTCCTGTTTGAGTATGATTGGGCTTTGATGCACACAGGTGAACAGACCCCCTTAGTCTGGTAACCAAGCTCCCACTCTGGGCTCTTCTCCCTCCTGCAAAATATAGCGCCTGGTCAGAGTCTCCAGTGTTTTTTTCTTTCATTTTACAACCGTATCCAGAGAGCCCATTGCACCCTTGGTCTCTACCCTGGGATCTGGGCCTAAAGGAACTCAGTCCAGGTGTGTCCTAGAGCTGAGCCTAGGGTCACCCACTGGCATCTTTCCTGAAGGGTGAAGGGTGAGGCTGTTACCTGCTGTGGGTGTGTCCAAGGTAGGCTGATGTTTTGCCTTGTCCTCATGGCCCATGTCAACTCCCCAAGGAAACAGGCCAAGCTTTATATTTGAAGACACGGTAGAGCCCTGCCTTCCAGAGCCCTGAAGTCACCCTAACCCCTTGCAGATACACTGACAGGCTCCCGGTGGCCTACGATGTAAAAGCCTGTTTCTATCATCTGGTCTTCGTGACCCCCACAGTTGGGGCACCGCCCCATCTTTCCCCTTCCCCACCTGCACTCAGCTCTTCAGACCTCTCCTTGGCCTCCTCAACCCTCAGAGGACATTGCTTTCCACCCTCAGCCATGACTTTGGCTCTGCCTGGAATGCCCTCAACTCCACCAGCCAGACATTTGCAGAGTCCTTTATATTGACCTGTTTTACAAAACATTGAATTCTCATAAAAATTTCATGGGGCAAGTGTCACCCCCTCCTTTAGAGCTGAGAAGTTGAGTGATTTGCCTAAAGTCAAAACAGCTAGTATCTTTGGGGCTGGAAGCCACGCCCAGACCTCCCTCCCCCCTACCAGAGACTCCAGTGCTGAGATCATCATGATCACACACAAGCCTTCTCCCAGCTCCTGCCTGCAGGTGGGTCTCTTTGCTCCAATAGACTTGAGTTGTCCGAGGGGAGGCCAGGGCCTCCTTGGCCTCGGGGTGTGGCCCATGGTTGTCTAGCAAATGCTCTTTCCCCGGTGCGACTGGGAGCATTTCCCATTGCCCACCTGAGGGCTGAGAGCAGGCTCTTCCCCGGGCAGGACTGGCTTTCCCAGGTGGCCCCAGCCTTTTCTCCACGAGGCAGGTAAGGCTAACTGCTGCCCAGGCATGCAGCGCCCATGACTCATCCACTGCAGGGCACCACCCCAGCCGCCCCCTGAGAGCTGGGGAAACCAGCTGGGTGGGTCCAGCTGGCAAAGCAGTTGGCCTGCCCACTCTCCCTACCAGCTCAGACCTCAGCCATGTGGCCCTGGCTATTCCAGTTGGGACGATGATAAACTTAACATTTCAATCCATCAAAATCCACCTAATCTACCATGTTCCCCAAGATCATGAGAAAGATTTCCTAGTGAACCAGGCCTCAAATTCTGGGCAGCGCCTTCCTCTTGGATATTAATACTGGCAGCTAACATTAGTCAACAGCTCCCTGTATGTTTGACATCGTTCTGAACATAGCAAAACTTTTGCCTTTCCCTTGGTCCCAGGTAGGAAGATAACACAGAGCAAAACGGTGTATCTAGTTGTTCAGATGCAGCAATGGAGAGACAGCTAACCTGGGCTATCGTCGGGAACAGAGTGAAGTCTAGCAAACCTCATCTTCTGCCTCCACTAGTATTTCCAAGGCCTTAATCAAGCTGCCTTCCAGAAGCTCAGAGGATTCTGCTTTTGTTTCAGATCAAAGGTTAATGCAAGAGGAAGTTGCTGATGTACACACACAGCTTTGATGTTATGACTTCATCTTTATTAGAAATGGGAGCCAGCCAAGGAGAGAGAGTCCTGGTGAAACCTGAGATAATGAATGTGGTCAGAAAGAGGCAAGAATCCAAGTAGGTTCAGATACAAAAGCCAAGTTAATGCCCTGAACGAAAATGCTAACGGAGGTGAGGTGGGGCCAGCGCCTCAATTCTCTAGAGTGGTCTAGTGAATGGGGTAGAGCCAGCTAGTTCCCTCTGCTGTGTCCGAGCTGATTGTAAATGGCTCAGAAAGCTGACACCGAAAGCTTCCAGGAGGGGAATGTGGTAGGTGAGCTCTCAGAGGCCATCTCTTTGTGGATGCCGTTTTTGTTTGAGAGCCACACCATCATTTCAGATGGCTGCTCCGATTTGCTAATTACACAGGGTGAGTCTTTGTCCCGCAGAGAGAGTCAACTCCGAGAGAGGTGGTTAGAGTTGGAGGCAGAAAACAATCCTGGTTTTCAGCTCAAGGGAGTTTCTGGCACCAGATTCAGAGAGTCAAACCTGGAAAGGGAAAGGAGTAAGGACAGAACCCGAAGAAGAGTCCCAGGGGCCCCAGGAGGGTTTAGAACCCTGAGGGCTGAGGGCAGCGGGGCCCTAGAAGCTTCTACTCTCTGGGGCCTCCAGCCAGTGGGCGGATTGTAAAACTGCTCTACCTTGTTCTAGAAGCTCCTCAGGGAAGCAGCCTCAGAGAAAAGAGGTCACGGCACAACACTGAAGAAAGCTCTAATGGAATTGCTCACGGTTTTCGATCAAAGCGCTCTAAGTGATTTCTGGCGTCTATAGTATACCCAGGAGATACTGCGGCTTCGGTTCCAGACCACCGCAGCAACTCGAGGATAGTCAGCTTAGTTTGGAGGGAGAGAATGGAAGTTGTCAGATTAGGCCTGCAACACACTGACCCTTTGAAAACGTTCTTAAACACAACATATACATACACATGCCCAGGATCCGGCATTGACAAAATTCCTTTTACAGTAGGGAGAGATTACAATTCTATATTCAGGAAGCTGAATCTGGAGAGTTTAGATGTACTTTGGGGGTGGTACTGATTCATGTTGGAGCCATTTAAAAGTTTTGAATCTAAAATCAGCATGTAGGAATTTATTTTATTTTATTTTTTTGCACAGGTCCAAGATAGATGTGGCCTGGCAACAGACTTTGAAAAGAAATAATGCAGGATTTTAATTGACCGCAAATCCAATGACTCAACAGCTTACTGGTGTGGACAGAAAGCTACTACTACTCCAGTCTGCATTGATATTCAACAGCAGCTTTCCTGGTCACCTTTTTGTACTAGCCTCTATGAACACAAGGGAAAAAGAAGCTATGGCTTCTTCCCTAAAAGACTCCTCTTCCAGCAGGGGAGACAGTCTTTCCTTCCGAATTCTTATGCCAAAATAGAACGATAGCCGCCACCTCCCCCCAACGTCAAGCAGCTGTTGGTCATTTATGGGAAAGTTGCAAGGCTAAACCCTCAGCAAACAGGCAGGTTATTTCTTGCTGTGTTTACACATTTCCTAGCAACGGGAATGCATGGCTTGCTTTCCTGTGACAAGCCCTGAGGAGAGGCGAGGAGCCGTGCCAGAGAGCCATCAGGGTTAAACTCCAGGCTCTGCCTTCCTGGAAGATCTAGCCCGCATACCCACCAGTTCCAACAGCAGGTCCCTGACACACCCAACTTTACAACAGCACTTGCAAACAATCCGTGACCAAGAAGATTAGAACTTCCTAAATACTTGTCCTTTTCCCTATATTGGTAAGGGTTCTTGGCAGATACATTTTAGGTCTGACTAGGTCTGGCCAATGGTCGTTGGGAAAAAAAAAGAGGGATACACATCACTCCTGCTGATGCAGCTCATTGCCGGCGTGCCTCCAGATCTAAGGAGAAATGCATTTTTCATAAAGTCACTATTCTAGAATCTGCCCTCGCCAGCAATTAGCATGAAGTACCTTGACTAATACAGCTTCTTCCTCCGCCTCCTGCAGACTTTCTGGACGCCCTCCTTTGTAACTACTCCCCATCCTCCTTCGGTAATTCATCCTTCTTTATCCTCGTATGCCCCAGAGTTCTGTGTTCAACCTTCTTCACATCCAGATCAACACTGAGCCTGGAAAAACTCACTCCTAGTTCCAACTATCGCCCTTGTAGTGACAATTCTCCACTCTACATCTCTCTCACCCGGAGCACTCCTGACCCCAATGCCTTAGTTATTAAAAAGTGTGAGGCTTCACAGGATTTACAGAGGAGTTGATAGAAAATGAAGTCGTTAGGTTGTGTAAGTCAGACCTTTCTCCTAAATTAACTTTTTTAAAGTTTGCAACTTACAGGGATTCTAACAATCATTTAAAAAGTAATTTTAACTCAAGTTCTGAGAGTTACAAACCAGGACAAGGAACTTTGTAATTGAGCCGGCGTGGGGGTGAGAGGACGGGGCGGCAGCAGGCGGGCAGCCCTGGTTATATAGGGTTTCCCCCTTTCCCACCACAGCTACTTCGAGTTAACATGTCACCAGGTGCGGAATTGGGAAGGGATGCTTCAGCCTTCCACTGTCTGGGGCAAACCTTTGACGTATATGGTTTTTCTGAGCACTCCAGACTCAACCAGCAGCATGGTGACAACCTAGTGATTATTCCATTTTTATAGAAGAGGAAACTGAAATAATAGGTCTTTACACTTAGGTCTCTTGCCAGTTCATGTTGGCCAGTGTTTCTCACTTTAGTGCTGATTCTGCAGATCTGGAGCAGGGCACGAGAATTTGCATTTCTAACAAGTCCCCCAGCTGCTGCTGGTCCTGGAACTAAGGATCACTGCCCTGGGCTTAGAGTAGTTTAGTGACAAAAAGGCACCAGCTGGGTTCCGTCCTAGCTCTGCCACTAATCAGCTGTGACCTTGAAGAGGATATTTCCAAGGAAGATCAGAGCTTCAAGATTCAATGGTCTTTGTTTACTTTCCATGCATTGCTATTTTCTTATCTCCACTCTGTATATAGTATCTGGAGACAAAAGGCATAGGGTTGGGTATCTCCAGATTTTGAAAGCTGCAAAATCTTATCAAGGCTCCTGACAATGCACATTTGAGTAAAATTAATGTCTGGAATTTCCCTTCCTGATGTCCAGTTATAAATATAGCACATTTCCCGCTAAAGATAGAAATCAAAGATGGACAAGTGGCATTTAAAGCATTAGAATATATTTAGACCATAGGAGCTGATTATCAGCCTTAGCATTCAACAGACTTGCTTCAATGTGACTGACCCCAAGGAGTCCTCACCACCACGAATTTGAGGCTGTTTTCACTTTATCCACCTCCTCTGTCCCCACCATTTACCTCATTATTATTCAGGTCTCCTTGTAGACCAATAACATTGTCTTTGAATAGACATGGCTGGCTGAGAGTTTTCCTCTTACTCTAAATGTGACTTACATACTACTCAGGACAATCCCATTATCTGATAGATGTGCACCTCTAGCACTCACCACCTGTATCACTCATCTTGGCTCTATTATATTATTCACGCGGGTGTGTTTTGCTATACCACTCTTCCAAGATTAATTTCTTCAAGGTGAGTCTTCTTGGCCTCGTAAAATCATACTCATCCTTCAAGATGCAATTCTGAGATTATCTTTTCTGGTCTCCATCTGCTCCACAAGTACCGCATTCATTTTGGTAAACATCCCATATTGCAAATACCCCAGGGAATAGCAGTTTCTGGCACCTGAGACTCAGCAAATGCTCCGTAATCACTCATCTATTTGTGAGTAAAATTAATCCCTATCACTGTTTGTGCAGAACTTGCATTTTTATATATAAGCTTAAAAAATGCCTGCTGTCACAAAATTCAAGATAAAGCAGCAGTTCTTCACTATTTGACAGGGGCAGTGGGGTAAAGGATGTTAAAAATTGTTCAAAGTATTTATTTTTAGATTTTTTTTTTTGGTGGACACACACACACACAATCCAGACTAATTTGTTTTTGTCTACATCTATACTAAAACACCACTCTTAACAGAGCTGCATGCTAGCACAGTGCAAACCAGTATTGCAATTAAAACATATTTACTTAGCAACTGTTGAAAGCAGTTTCTAAAAATATTCATCTCCCCCTTTCTTCCAATCCTAAATATCTAACGTAGCACTTTATCACCACTACGACTTGTGCCACTGTCCACTGGCAGAGAACCAATGGATGGCTGCCTGACATCCCAGACATTGTTTCCAATGGTTATTCAGACTGTTTTATTGATGGCTTAATATGGTAATGTTAAGAAAAGCTACATTTTTTTTTTACCCATTCTACTCCATAAATGACATTATTAGGACAGTAAAGTACTTTAGTACTTTGGGGGAGAGAAGGTTTTTTACCCATTCTACTCCATAAATGACATTATCAGGACAGTAAAGTACTTTAGTACTTTGGGGGAGAGAAGCCCCTTTCAGTAAATACCAGTATGTTAGAATAGCCTATATAATCCTAGTTACATGGAAATGCTCTTTCTAAACATGGAAAATATTCACAATCGCAAACAAAACTTGACCAAATTTATCTAGATACAAATTTTATTAATGCATCCTACTCCTGAATATTATAATGTATCTTAAGTTCACCTCACATTAAAAAATTTCATCAACAGTTAACTGATTTTAAAAAAACCCTAATTTCAATTTTTATTAAGACTGTTTAGTAGCAAAACTGGCTTTTTTTTGCTATCAATACACAACTGAGGTGCTTTGTGATAAGTAGGTAAAGGTTGGCTGACAAATGCAATATAATTGCTCTGGCTTAATGGTGTCACTAAAAATGTTTTTTAAAAAAATGTGAACAGTACTATTTGGCCCTGGTGAAGGTCCTGGTTGTGGGGAACCTTAACACACCTGTACATCTTTTTGGGCTTTACTTTCACCAACTTATCTCCAAAAGGCCCAAGAAAACAAGATCTAGCATTTAGTCCTAAATATGGACCCTGACAATCATTTGAGTGGATGACTTATTTATAAAAACCCTCCCATCACATCATCCTATTTGATATTCATTTAAGATACACAGACAATATCTTTTAAAAGGGCAAAAGTTCTCATTTAAGAAACCAGAGAACTTAAACACCTCCTCCAATCCTGTGCTTTGGTATCCTCAAATGTAAAGTGGCTCCAGATTTACCTAGTGGAAGCTGAGGATTAGGTAAATTAATACATATAAAAAATTCAGAAAAGTACCTGGCAGATAGCACTGAGTGATATATATCACTTTGAATTTTAAATGGTGATAAAAAATAAAAAGGGGCCATCATCGTTTTAACTGTATGAAAACTTAAGGAAATCAAGGTTCAGTCCTGGCTATGAAGAATTTACCCACCCATCTCAGTTTAAGTAGTCCCACACTTTTCTTGATTATCTAATGGGAATAAGTTAACTGTTTCTTGCAAAATATTCTATAAAAGCATAGCAATCTTTAAATGGGGATGATCATACTTCCCCACTGAGAATGAGGATACAAAAATGTTAATGTCTGAAGTATTCAGGCCAAGTATTTTTAAGCAAGTAAGTCCCTCAATGGCCCTGGCCAGGTAGGTCAGTTGGAGTGTCATCCTGATGTGCCAGTTGCAGGTTCGCAGGTCAGTGCACACACAAGAATCAACCAATGAATGCATAAGTGGAACAAATGGATTTCTCCTTTCCTATCTCAAAATCAGTAAAATAAAAAATTTTTGAACAAACTTCCTCAATAAGTAATGTGATGTGTAGATATTTTTAAGACAATGTAAATGTTCTGCTCATCAAAGCTGTATTTGCTTTTAGGTGAATGATTGTCTGATGCATTATTACATTTACCTTTATTAGCTGACATTCTAAGAGCTTTCCCTTCTCCCCATTTTTTTATATCAACACTAGAGGCCCAGGATATGAATTCATGCATGGGTGGGATCTGGCTGGCCTGCCCCGATGGGGAACCATTGGACTGGGCTGGCAGGGGGAGGGGCCACGGGCAGTTGGCCGGGCGGCCCCGCCCCCAATTGGGGTGTTGGGGGCCGGCTGTGTCGGGGAGCCAATCGGGGACGGGATCAGGCTGGTTGGCTGCTGCAGTGCCAGTCATTCTGGTTGTTCCACCGTTTCGGTCACTGGGCTTCAATATATATAGATGAGAATTTTAGGTTCTCATTCACTGAGTTATGTTACTACCACTATTTCAATAATGTATTTGATACAGATTTGGCTAATAAGAACCCTTCAAGTGGTTCCCATGCCCTTTGGACATGTACCCATCCTTTTTTGAGATTTCCTTTCTTCCCAGGAACAACAGAATGTTACAGGTTCATCTTGTACTTTCTCTGTCCCGGGATTAAAGTCAGACATTTCTCCAAGAAGCATGGTTCCTTTCTGTATTTAGAAATTGAGATCTGGATATTAGGTGTACTCATTGCTGTTGCAGTTACTACAGGTTTTAGGTCCTCAGTGAACACAGCTGGGAAATAAAACATTACATACACAATCACAAAGTCATGAAAGACAAATTAAGGTCACTACACAGACCCACTCAACAACTGAACACAATACATGATCCTTGCTTTGGATCCTAGACAGTTGAAACTGAACAGACTGGACTACAAATCTGTGTCAATATTAAAGTGTCCTGATTTTAGTATTGTACTAACCACACTAAAAATATTAGGTGTTTAAAGGGACAAGATCTGTAACCTATTTTCAAATGGTTAAAAATTACAGAATGAGACAAAATGTTAAACAGCCTAAGGGAGAACCATTGTACTATTCTTGCATTTCAATATCAAAATTAAAAGTTACAAAAAGCTTAAAAGCAACTTGTAAACCGAAGGATTACGAACCACAAGTCATTTCTAAGGGTAATGACTCAGGTCACTGAGATGGCCTAGTATAGCTTATTTGTTTTGTGAAAGTTTGACCCATGTTCATATTCATTATTTCGTAGATAAATGGGGCGATTTATTCTTTTTTCAGAGACAAAAGCTTTTTATCTTAACTGAGGATAAAGTTAAAACAATTTATATTAATATTTAAAATGGTATCAAAAGCAACTTTTACATTTTGCCACGGCAATTTTTGAGAGTAACTGAAAGTAGTTCCATACAGCTGCTCAATTCCAGCCTAACAGGGATTGACCCTTTAAAACTTCCCCCAGATGAGATAACTGAAGTTTGAGAACTGAGATTTGGAACTGAAACAGACACAAACCCCTTTGAAACCCAACTATGATTCTTGTCACCTTCAGCGAAGATGCTTCAGTCTTTTTCATGATTTTGACAGAATAAGCTGCAGATTCCGTCCTCTTTTCACTACCAATGAATGAGCCAATCCTCTCCCAGTTTTTGTCTAAATTTCCTTCCAAAGGGCACTTCCAATTTTGTCCATCCCTTTAATGGCCCTGCAGTTATTTTATTCTCTTTCTGACATTCTCAGTCCCATCCTTAGATTTTTCATCTGCTGCTCTCACCTCTGTCTAGATTTCTAACCTACTCTTTCCAAAAGCCTTAAACAACTTCAAGACTGAAGTGGCTGTCCTTGCTAGGTGCTCCAATAGAACCCAAATACTTCCTCCTTTGCAATGGCTACACTGTGGTATAAAATTGCTCTCTCTTCTACACCGTAAACTGCTAGGATGGGATTGTTTTGGTCACTTCTGAATTCCCTATAGCTGGCACAGCTCCAGACAGCCCAAACGTACACTGTGATGCCAAAGCAGCTCAGTTCATTTCTTCAAACTCTTCTGCATATATTTACCTATGAAAAAGTAGATGCTTGGGAGTGGTAAATGACTAAAACAGAAAATCCTAAATTTAAAAAACTGTAACATACACTCTGGGTGGCCACCTCACTATGAAGAATGTGGACCTACTGGTCTAATAAGACTTTCTCCACCTCCATTTTATTCTTCCATTCATTCAGAAATCACCCAATGCATCAGGTGCTCTGACCCAGTTCTTGGGGTAGTATGGACACCAATTAACTCATCACTGCTCCCAATTCTTAAAGTAACCAATATTACAAACATTTCTTCATTATTTTGATTGTACATGGGAGACAACAGGGGTACCACAAAATCATCTTCAAGGTATCTGGTTAGACAAAGATAAAAGGTAGACTGAACCCATGCACCCCACCAGGCTGAAAAGGAGCAGAGAACCAATCAAAAAATTAAGTGGGAATTCTCAGGTCTCTCAAACTTGCTGAATCTGCAGTACCACAGAATCCCAGCCACTGTGGGTTCACAGTGTCCATCAAAATAAAAGGCATTTGATCAACAACTTGAAATGTGTCTTACAATTACTCAAATAGCTCTGATACTGCTCAATATTTTCATTACATTTTTGCATATACAGTATCATTTCAGAAAACAATCCTTTTACTTCAATTATATACTGGTGATGATTAAATACAGAATGTATAGCCTGATTAAACTTATACTTGATTCACCATCTCTAGCCTTTCCAGATAAAAAGTAGACTAAAAGGTTTGTCATTATTAAATATATTCTAAGGAGGAAATGGAGAAATTTGTTTTGGGAGTTAATCCCCAAAATGTTGTGAGCAATAGAAATGCGATGAAAGAAAAGTGGTCTCACAAGTCTACTTTAAAGGGAAGAGCACATCTGAGATACCACTGCAGACTGCTGAATTTTGCAGGAGCTGAGCTGAAAGCGTCTAGGCCACCCCTTCTTGAAATTCTCATGGTTCACTCTAGACAAGGTGTAAGAACTTATTCTTGATAGCTGGTTCAGCAAACATCAGGGAAAACTAGCTCATTGGCTCGGGTTTTAAAAATCCTTGTTTGTTCTCTTTTATTGTAATGAAATTAAGTTTGTCATTGTTACAGTATACTCTGTTTAAAACATTAAATAGTACTGCAAGGACTGGTAGAGATAAAAATATCTCTTATTACTTGATAAAATATAATAAAAGCAACCCGCCCCCCCCCGCCCAAGATTCTACTTGTAAGCCTTAGGAGCATGAGCACAACCATATGGGGAGGAGATAACCAGTCTCTCCCTTCATATATATTTTTTTATTTTCTTGTTATACCTTCCCAAAACAGAGACATTCAACAGTAGTTAGAATGACCATCTCCCAACATTAAAAAAAACCTGTAACCCCCCACCCCCAATGGGTGAACAAAGTAAATAGTAGTAACCTAGAGTTCAGCTGAGTGAGCCATTGTGGAGCCTTAAGTGGTGAGGTCTTCCAATTTCAGTGATGTGTCTTCAACTTGTATCATCATTTTAGTGGAAAAACATAATTTAATTTTGGTGGAATGAGATTCATCTCCCAACAGGATTAGTAAACAGCATTCACTGAGTTTCAAATTCTTCTTTTGTGAACTGAGAAGAAAATGAATGGTAGCTAGAAGATCAATGGGATTCCAGCTCCAGCTGCAGATGGAATGACGATATACCAGGACAAAAACACCTATATTTTGATTTACAAAGCTAACAGCAGTTATAAATCTGCAACTTAATTACAGACCAACTACACCACAACCTTTTCAAATGGCAAAAATACAAAAAAGTGTTACAAAAATATTTCAGAAAAAGTGCATAGTCTAAGTGCATAGTAAATAAAAGCACTGAAAAATATCTTGCTAGAGGGAGTTCAGCTTGGAAAAGTTATTACCAAAGCTAAACATTTTTATTTTACACAAGCTATACTCAAAAAATAGCTTTATGAGACTGATTTCTGGCTAAAAGTTTCAAAGGGTTTATTAGTCAAGAAACAAATACCTTAACTGACATGGGTGGATAGAAAAGAAGCGAAGCTGCCTACCCCACAAGTTCATACTCATGATTTCTGCAGTATGATGGTGCTAATATATGTAGTAATCACGGAATTATTGCTAAAGTAGTTTTGAAATAAAAAAGAAAAATTAAGCTTGACACAATCTGACCAAACTAGTGTCAATTTACAATTTCAAGATTATTTTACAAAACACCTACATTTTTTTTACACAATAGGCAGCATTTTCAGACGAAAGTACTTTTAAATTTATTCTGACATGCTCTAAATGAATAAATTACAGT